ACTTTGAGTGTTCAGACTTTATGGGGAATTGTTAAATAAACATATGGTAGTATTTGACTTTGTTCTTGTTGTTAGATGGCATGAAATTAGATACAAATCATAGTGATCCTTTGAACAACAGATTGGAACCTTGCCCACATCCTGCACCATCTTCACGATTTCCCCCTGCTCAAGCCCACTGTGCCAGTCTCTTCTGTGTCAGTCCATTTTATTGATGGTCTTCCTTTCCTTCTCTGACCCTCCACTTTTCCCAGAATGATGTCTTCTTCTTATTTAAATACAACCATGTATCAGCCTAGGTAAAGAATATGAAACTTTTCCGTTTCTTTGTAAAAGAAATTTTTAAATCTAATGTACTGCTAGACATTTAATTCAAAGTACAAGAACTTTAATAAAACAGATATATATATATATTCTGTGTATGTGTAGAGAGGGAGCCCCGGTGGCACAGTGGTTAAGCACTTCTAACTGCTAACCTGATGGAAGAAAGATGTGGTTGCTTCCATAAAGATCTATAGACTTAGACACCCAATGAGGAAGACCTATTTTCTTATAGGGTTGCTACAAATTAGAAAATGGCTCAAAGACACTGGCTATAGGTTACGTGTACAGAAATGAATTAACATTGACTTTAAAAAAAATGTGATTTTAACAAAACTTTACAGAGAGCTTGGGTTTTCACTCATTCACTGTCGGACAGTTTCCTCCATCCCCTTTCCTTGTGCCTCCCCCAGGCCACTTGGTTATGCACCTCTTGTTCCAGATAACACTGACATTTTAAATTTTTCTACATTTTATGTTCAATTCAGATGCTGGTGCCAGAAATGTCAAACAATGGAAACATTCTTTTTGGAATTTTTAGCTACACTAAAGAATTTTCCAGGATATTAAAAAGGGACTTTCTACTTTGTACATCTTTGCAATTCTTGATTTGCTTTTATATGTTGGTATAATGAACATAATGCCTTGTTTAACATAGACATTTATCCTATCCTTCTATCCTTTTGAATTGGATTACTTAAAAATTATTCCAGACAGTTTAATCTTCCTCATTTGCTCTTTGCACACCATCCTATACATAAATGTACGTGCTTAATAACAGCTGTCATTTACTTAAGTAATCACTATGTACCAGACAGACTATGTTCTATGCACTTGATATACTAACCCATTAAATTGTATAGCAACCCTATTATGGCTTCCAGTTTACACAGGAAGCTATGAAGCAAATTTAAGAAACCCTCCGAATATACAGACTGTATGCATCGTTGTTGTTGATGTTGTTGTGCATAGGTAACTAATAAAAAGACTATGCCATAAAACAACATATACAAACTTTGTAAATAAACCAGTATAAATTTTAATTTTTTTAAAAAGAAAGACTATGTCATGTATTTGAATATGCATGACTTTCTGCTCTCAAAGTAAAAAAAAATGCTAGGTTCCATTTCCATTGTTTTGCTTAAGGTCAGTTGAAGATCTCCCGTGTATATGTTAGGGGAGGGATACAAGGGTGAATAATGCCCATTCGTTTCTTATAAAAGGCTTACCATCAGGTTAGAGAAATGGGACTCGTAAACTTAACATTAATAAGAGTGTGGTGTACCCTGTAAAGGTGCATAACTTGACTCTAGTGAGTCGTAGGGATGGTTGACTGCAGAGGGAGATATAGATTTGGGGAGAAAGACCCCAGATAAACGTGGGGGATGGGCTTTCCTTAGGCCAGTAAAGAGCAGATTGGCTTCAATACATTGTGTTCACTTTCAGCATCAGTAGCTTACAAAGCTCCTTCTGTGTGCTACTTCTCAAATATGACTACATATTAACTTGTTCCTGACTTCAACATCAGTAATTTCCACATCATTTCTCTCTTCAATAGGAAGAAAATAGAGGCTTGGGAAATGTCATTAGTATCCCAAGGTTGTATGTTTCCTGAATATAGCCCCAGGAAATCGTAGACAGCTAAGATCTGTAGAGGTGTGCTTGGGGCAGTAAGTAGCCTCGTATTAGCATAGGATACTGCAGCAGGAATTAGCAAACTTGGTTTAATAAAGGGTCAGGTAGTAGATGTTTTATTCATTGCAGGCTCTCTCTGTGTGGTCCCTTTGGCAGCTATTCAGCTGGGCCACTGTATGAAAACAGCCACAGATAGTTATGAAAGGGCACTTGTGGCTGTGAACCCTGCTGTGGAGCTAGACTCCGCCAGCTGCTCCGAGGCAGGAAGTTGGGCAGTCTACTCCTATAAAGATTTACAGCCTCAGAGACCCAATGGAGTGTTGCCATGAGTCGGAATTGGCTCAATAGCAGTGGACTGGGTGGGTGTTCCAATTAAACCTTAATTGCAAAAATAAACGGCAGGTCAAACTTAACCTGCAAGCCTTTGCTTGGCAATCCCCTGTGGAAGGGAAGCTTAGAAAGGCAGATAGCTAGCACCTTGATTCCACTCTTAGAACCTTTTGTTGTGTTCCTAAAGAGACAGAGACTGTCAAAGTCATTTCATGGTTATTGTTCCAGAGAAGTCAGCTCATATATATAACATACTCTTTTTATCATCTACTTCTATCCAAGTTACTCTAGAAAGTTGCCAAGAAAGCTAAGCTGCGTCTTCAAGCAGATGCTGAAAGAACATTGTTAAATTTTTCTTTCCAGTGCCTTAAGAATTTGTGTTTGTGTTCTTGGATTTATTGGGCAAGAAGGAAACTGTTTATTCTTAGTATTTTGATAGAAGAATGAAAATGTGGGCTCTGTTGGGAGGAGAGAGAGGGACAAAGCATTGAATGTGCAAGCCCATGCCATTTTTTTCAATTGATTCTCAAGACCCATAATTTGTAGATTTGACCCTAAGACTGAGAAATATTGGCAGACTAGTCTGTTGGAGTATAATTCCACCCAAATTCATACAATAAAAATGTTCTAAATGCTGCTGAGAATCCAAAGTCAATAGGGTTGCCAGATTTAGCATCTAAAACTCCAGGATGCCCAGTTAAATTTGAATTTCAGAGAAGCACCACCACCATCAACAAAATTTAGTGCTCCGTTCTCATGGGAACCTCATGTGACAGCAGAACTAGCCACACGGTTTTCTAGCCTGTAATCTTTACAAGAGCAAATTGACAGGTAAAGATTGCCCAGCCTGAGAGGCTGCTGGGGAGGTTTGAACAGCTGACCTGTAGGTTTTCAGCTGAGCTAGGGTTGCTGTGAGTCAGAATCAGTGCAATACCTACCATATGTTCTGTTCAATATTTGGGGCATACTTATACTAAAAAAACCTGTTCATTCTTTACCTGAAATTGGGCATCTTGGATTTTATCTAGAAATTCTAGAAATGAAGAGAGGTGGTGAAGAGGGGAGGGTGGTGTTTACACTATCTATTGCATAATTATGCCTGCTGATTAGCTATCTTTCATCAAGGTAGTTCTTTTTCTTTTAATTGTGGAAGTCTTATGACAGTGGATTCTCATTAATTTCAACCTGACTGGTTTCGAATTTTGATTATTTATGTGCTAGCGTGCACTTTATTCTCTTCATTAATTTAGTAAGCTTATTTGTCATGGATAGTACAAACAAAACTGAAAGAGAACTATTTATCTCCTTGGGAGGTTACAAGTGGTGTAATTACAATCTCCAAATGGAGGAGGCTATCACTAGGCTCTGCTTTTCACCTCAGAATTACAGATTGTTCTCAGCTATTCATTAAAACAAGGCAAGATTCATTAAAACAAGTCAAGACTGAGCAAGCAGTGTGACATGCAGCCACCTGGGTCTTCACAGACCCCGTATGGGGACTGTCCTGCTCCGCTCTTTGGCTGTCAGCTCAAAGGGTCGGGTTGGGGTCTTTGTTTCATTCCCCCTGCTCTCTCCGGCCTTTGTGTAACCCCCACAAGTTAGAAGGCACCCTGTGTTTACTGGTTGAATTAATGAATGAGCGCTATCTGCATGTGTTACAAGAAACGGTTCCTAAATATTTTGCATTTCAAATTTAAAAGACTAGTTCTTTGTCTTATCCCCAATTTAAGGATCAGAAGGGAATTTTTAATTACATTTGTTTCACTCCCTCTTGGTCTTTGGGGGGCTCACATTGAGAGAGTGTAGCTGGACTTCCTCCAAGTATGTTTTCCAGAAGAGAAAGATAGTGAGGAGCTTGGAGAATCACCCCCACACTCCAAGAGCAGCTTCAGTTTACTGGTCTCCAGCTTTCCCATGGCAGTAATGACATTTGTTTTTGTTGTTAGGTTCTGTGGAGTCAGTATGAACTCACGGCAACTCTGTGTACAACAGAAGAAAACATTTCTTGGTCCTGTGCGGTCCTCAGAATCATTACTGAGTTTGAGCCCACTGTTGCAGACATAGTAATGTCATTAGCAGGATGAAATTTTCTCTCTGTCTCTCACTAATACACACATGCACACAATAAATCTCCATTGAAGCCAAAGAGGAAAGGATCTAGTGATGGCATATAACTCTAGCTGACCCTGATAAATAATACTCTAATGACTAAAACAAATACATAGACATTACATGGTCTAAAGCACATTTGTACGATGAGAGACCACCCACCATATAGGTCACCTTACTGCTGAAACCTCCCAGTGGATTCTAGACTCTTGAGGAAAGTTAGGCGTGAATGCTCTATAGTTGGGAAGAGTAAAGCAGAATTTGTTTCTATTTTTGCACTGGTCATCATCTAGCATCAGAAATAAACACAGATGAAACGTGCTCTCAGTTTCTACTTGTGACTTTATTCTTCCCTGCTTCCTTCAGCAAAGAAAAATTATTAGTAAGTAACCAGGAGATTAGGAATCAAACCGCGCTCCTAGTTCCTAGCCCTGCTTCTCTCCCTGAAGTGCATTTGCTAGTGAGTTGAGCCCTGGAGAGGCTGCCTGGAATGTGGGGCCGGGTGGAAACAGAGCTGACCATAATGTTCCTTGGATGCAGCCCTTTCTTTCAAAGAACTGAGTCATGTTCTAACTATTCCCTTTTGTTCTCCCTTTTCCTCACAGCACCCTGGAAGGGTATTATGTGGACGATGCCCTACAGGGCCAGGGAGTTTATACTTACGAAGACGGAGGAGTTCTTCAAGGCACCTATGTAGATGGAGAGCTGAATGGTCCGGCCCAGGAATATGACACGGACGGGAGACTGATCTTCAAAGGGCAATATAAAGATAATATTCGACATGGCGTTTGCTGGATATATTACCTAGTAAGCCTTATGAAGAACCCTGGTGGCTCTGTGGTTAAGCACTTGGGCTGCTAACCAGTAGGTTGGCAGTTCAAATCTATCAGCTGTTGCTCAGGAGAAAGACGTGACTTGTCTGCGTCCATGAAGTTTTACAACTTTGAAAATTTGTGGGGCAGTTCTACCCTGTCTTACAAAGTTGCTAGGAATCAGTCTGACTAAATAGTAATGGGTTTGGGGTTTTTTTGTAGCCTTATGACTTTTTATTTTCTTAGAAAGTGACAGGATGTAAGACACTGCTTTGACTTTTAATACTCAAGAGTGAAATATGTTCTCTATGTTAGAAATTGAACTGTGACATTCTGAAGTCACACAAAAGCAGCAGCCAGCCACTGAAGCATAACCTAACACTTCCATTAGGTATTGGCTTTGGTGATAGTTCTTATATATAGCTATAGCTGTATCTACTATTAATTGTTTTTTAGTACTGTTGGGAACAAATAATTTCTCATAATCTAAACATACTGGGACCTTGAGGAATTTTTTGGAGTGATGGAAATTTCTGGATCTTTTTTTTTTCTTATTAAATTTTATTAGAATTTCTGGATCTTGATTGTGGTTGTGATTATAAAAAAAAAGAGTAAAAAGAAGATATAGATACTTATACATATATAAACATATTAGAACAAATTCACTTTATTGTATCGATAAAGGAAAAAGATATATTGTTTTTAATTCCTTGGTATAATTAAAGGGTGGTAGAATGGTTAAGTTTGCTATTTAAGTCTGTTTCCCACATGTAAAAACCAATCTAGCAATTTCAAAATCTTTTGTAGTTACTGCACTATTGTTACTTGATTTTACAGTTCTATTCCCTACGCTTTAAGTTGCTTTGGGGATTATGTTGTTTAAACTAAAGGGATTAAAATTAATTTGCTTTCAGTATTTGATAGCTTTTCATAATATAGCTGAAGTTATTAAAGTAAAAATGTGGCAAAGCCATGGTTGAGAATTAATGCTCTAATTTTCCTTTGCATTTCAAATATTCCATCTGTTGTTCGTGAGTTCCCAGAAAAACAGATCATAGAAAATATTTATGATTTTATTTTGGGTAGAAATGGTTTCTCTCTCTTCTCTCTCTCTCTGTCTGTCTCTCTCTCAGTGTGTTATCTTCTTCTCTCTCTCTCTCTCTCTCTCTCTCTCAGTGTTATCTTCTTAGAGTTGAAATCTCAAAAGCTCAAACTCATGGCCATCAAATCAGAGGCAACTCACAGCTGATCCTTCAGCTGGTTTTTTGGAGGCAGTAAATCACACGGGAGGTTTACAGCCTGTATTTCTCTTATGGATTTGTGTCAGCTGCCTTTTTGTTAACAGCACAGCTCCTCATGAACTAGGCCACTAGAGCTCTCTTAGGGTTGAAAAGTATTTCTAAAACACAAGTTAACTAGTGCATGTATAAAGATATTTGTTGAATGTTGTTGAGTCAATTCTGACTCTTCTCCAACTAAATAAATGTATTCTAGAAATGTCATTATGGAGTTGATTTTTCACTTACAATAACCTCGTGTGATCGGGTACAACGGCCCCATTAGGTTTTGTAGGTTGTAATCTTAATGGGAGCAAATTACCAAGTCTTTGTCCCAAGGAGCCTCTGGGTGGGTTCAAATCGATCTTTCATCTAGCTTACCTGTTGTGTCCCCAGGGCTCCTTACTCTAGGAATAGGATATGAGAAAAGAACATTGTAAATATTTATTTCAGTAAAGTACTAACACATTTACATATCCTTTTTAGGTTCTCTGATATCAGAAATCATTTTAATTACTACCTAGAAGGAGGAAAGGAAAAAGACAGGAAGTGGGTGAGAGTACTTCTTAGTCTAGGAAGACTGACTTTCATTGCCCCAGTTATCGAGTCAATCCATTTCATCTGAGGTTTTCCTCTTTTGTGCTGTCCCTCACCCTTCCAAGCATGATGTACTTTTCCAAAGACTGATCCCCTCCTGACTACATGCCCAGAGTATGTGAGGAGTGTCAAAATCCTTTCCTCCAAGGAGAAACTTGGTTTCTGCCTCTCCAGGACAGACCTCTTTGTTCTGGCAGTCCATGATACGATCAATACTCTTCTTCAGCACCACAACTCAAAGGCATCAGTTCTTCTGTAATCCTTAGTCATTGTCCAGCTCTCTGATGCATAGCAAGTAATTGCAAAGATCATGGCCTGAATCAGGCAAGCCTTAGTTTCTAGACTGACATTGCTCTTTAGTACTTTGGAGAGGCCCCTGACAGCAGACTTCCCCAGTGCAATTCATCTTTAAATTTCCTGACTACTGGTGCCAAGAGTATTGACTGTGAGCTTGGCAACCTCAGATTATTAACAACCTCAATCTCTTCTCCATCCATCATGGTACTGCCAGTCTTTGTCTTCTTGATGTTGAGCTTCAGTCCATATTGAAGACAACAGTGGTGGCCTTGAACTGTGTACCTTTGGGATTGAAGCCTAGCTTCTTACCACTAGGCCACCAGAGCTCCTTGGTATACCAAGAGTATCTTAGGAAGAAGTTATTAAAAATTAATAATAATAATAATAAACTCATTGCCATTGAGTCAGAAACCCACTGATACCTGACATGAGAGGAGATTGCCCATCTTTTTTCCTGGTGGATCCAGACTGCCAGAGAGATGCCACTTTGGTGTCAACAGTGCAACTTCCTATGGACTATGATACCACCAGAGCTCCAACAAAAGGGGACACTGCGATGCGTGGGCCAGGAATCTAACCCAGCCCTACTGTTTGGCAGAGGAGGAAAACTGTACCACTGAACCACCATTACACTTGGCTCTTTATGGAATTTGCTTTCTTGTCTGTGGTTGCTCTCAAGTTGAGAGCATTCAATCACTTATCTGCCCCTTGAGATCTGAATTGTAATGAAATTGGCATAAGTGTCAGAGATCAATCATGTCCCTTTGATTATGGCAGTGTTATACTGGAGATGTGGTGTAGACTCAGCCAAACTGGGCTTCCTACTCTTCCTGTCTGAACTGAACAGATAGACCAGCTGTTGGTAGAGCAGCTGGAAAGCTGCAGGTTTCACAGTTGAACAGGACCTTCCTGGGTGTCAAGCTTGCCTGGGAGGTGGCAGGAATGGAGAGGGGAATAGGTTCAGCTGTTGGGCACTGCCTGTTCACAGGACCCAGGAGAGGGTGAATGGAAAATGAGGCCATAAGGAGCAGTGGCCTTTATCCTGTGAACACCACCTACTAGAGAAATGGATGTCAGTGAGTGCTGGCTTCTGCCTCTTACCAATCAAATCAATGACTTTCCCACAGGGAGGGGTTGCAGATGAGGACATTTGTGTGACCTGTGACCAAAGCAGGAGCAAGAGGAGGGAAGAGTATTGGTTCTCCCTACAGTACTTGTAACTGCACTCTTAAGGACAGTTTATTGCTTTCAAAAATTTGCTATTGAGCTGTGATGTAACGTTTTTAATTAAAAACTCATAACTACTGTCTGGGGAGTAAAAGAATTATTTCTGTTTTATTATTCTCAACATCTAAATTCACTTCCTCTCAAATCAGAAGTTTAAAGCAATTAAAGAAAAAGGTGTGAGACTGGAGAAAAGATAGGCTCCAGTTACAAATTAACAGTGACAGCTTAGATGAGTTACTGCACATAAGAAGCATACCTTCTCCAATGAGCTTTGGCTCAGTCAGCTCTGGATACCCAGAGGCAGACCCTGCAGAAAGCACACTCCCCATTTGTGCTGGGTTATAAAGCATTAATTTGGGGAGGAGGAAGAGCAATAAATAGTTTTCTAATGTACTTTCTATCCATGAAAAGTTCTTCCAATTATTTCTCTTTCTGTGGAAGTGCTACAGTGTGTTTTCAATTTGTAACTTCTTTTCCTCCAAAGAGCAATTGGAACCCAGTGAACTGTAGAAGTCACGTACAGGGCACCCTTTATTCCAGCTGTCTTTCAGTACACGGTGTCTGGTATCACGCACAAGTCGTCCTGCATCCCTGACTTTGAGTAGAAACCTTTGAGTTAGGGAAATACTGAAGCTTGTAGAATATATTGTACTATTCCATCTTTGTACCAGTCCCACAGAAGCCTTAGATTTCCAGAGAAATATGAGGATTTTCTGGAGTGGAAATAAAAATTAAACACTCTGGTGTATCCTAAAGTAGCATGCTAATTACTTTTTGTAGCTCAGTTTAAGTCAACAAATATCTGTGGATTGCTTTGCTGTGTTGCTACTCCTTAACAGGATACAGAATTGTTTGATAGGTTAACTGATCCACAACAAATGGAGTGAGTAAGAGTTAAATGTGCAGCAAAGCTGGATCCTCTCCTGGAAAGAGGCAAGAGGAAGCACTGAATACAGAAAAGTGAAAAGGAAAAAGACAGCCCTAACTTTTCAGATAGACACTGAGTTCATTCTTAAGTCCATTTTGAACTAAGAACTTTCTCAATTGATCAGAAATTCAAAATTTATTATTGAGAAACAATCTACATTGCAGTTGTTATTGGCCAAATATAGCGAGTTACATTTCTTTTAAAAGTGTGTAGTTAATATAACAAACAGAACATTTATTTCTTAGCTAACAAGCCAAGGGAGAATAGCAGCAGTTTGTACAGAATTATGCAGCTGATGTTGATAGGGCCAGGGGAGCTCTGGTGGCCTAGTCTGTAATGAGTTGGGCTGTTTACCTGAAGGCTGCTCCAATCTGGGGGTTAGAACCACCCCCCCAGCAGCTCCACATGAGAAAGGGTCATTGTCCCGTTGTGACTTAACAGCCTCAGAAATCCAATGGTGGGTCAGAAACAACAACAGTGAGTTTGAGTTTTTTATTGCCTGAGCCAGTGGTAGAGCATCAGTCTCTCACTCTCTAAGGCTTACATGCTTAGAACTTTCTAGATGTTTATTTGAATAAGGGAGGTTGAAAAGACAGACAACATATGCTCTTCTTGTTCATATGAAAAATTCTGGGCTCTTAAACTATTCTCCATAATAGTTTTATTAAGAATAAAAGAGATTCTTTACATTCACACGATATGGATAAATACTATATGTAATATTTTCTGGTTTTTGGTTTTCCCCATCAGGATGGAGGGAGCCTTGTAGGAGAAGTAAACGAAGACGGGGAGATGACTGGAGAGAAGATAGCTTACGTCTACCCTGACAAGAGGACCGCCCTTTACGGAAGATTCATCGACGCAGAGATGATGGAAGGCAAACTGGCCACCCTTACAACCACTGAAGAAGGGAGGCCTCACTTTGAGCTGATGCCTGGAAGTAAGTCAGACCTGTTTCAGATGTATGGTTCTAAGTCCAATGCATGCAGTTACAGCTATTGGAAAAAACACAAAGCAACTCATTGCCGCTGAGTCAGAACTGACTCATAGCTGCTGTTCCTGCAGACTTTTGGAGGCTGCAAGGGAAGAGAGGATGCCCATCTTTCTCCCACAGAGCAGCTGGTAGATTTGAACTGCCTTCTTTTCCCTTAACAGCACAGCTCCTTGCCCACTAGGCCACCTGAGCTCCTTAGAGCAATTTGAGACAAGTTCACTTTCTTCTCCATGTAGCCCGTCCTAAACAAACAAGCAGCAGTTGCTGTGAAGTCAGTTCAGACTCATTGGAACCCCATGTGTGTCAGAACTGTGCTCCACAGAGTCTTCAATGACTGAATTTTTGGGAGTAGATCAACAACAGGTCCCTCTCAGATGACTTGAACCTCCACCTTTCAGTTAACCGCTGACCATGCTATTTGTATCACCCAGCGACTTCCTAGTCCCACTCTAATTGGTGTGTTAAGCAGATGTTACCATTTTAACAGACACCTCAGTGTTGTGGTGGTGAACACCATCAAGCATAAGTCAGTAGGTCAGCTTTGCTTTAACTGGTTTTGGCTGGGTTTGGGTCTTGAAATTTCTGCTGAAGATAAAGACTTTCCCCTCCAGTCTTAAATCTGGGCTCTTGTCTGAAGGGCAGTGCTGCCTGGAGCTTGAGTCTCAGATGGCTCACAGGTCGACCAGAGCGTGAGTAGAAACCTGTGGTGCCGCAAAGCTGCTTAGGACTGAACCACTGCCCCCTTCACTCACTTCATACTGGCCAGATCAAGTCACGCTGCCAGCTGTCAGGGGAACAAGGAAATAGTGACCATGTACTTTTTTTTTTTTTATTATTTGTGTGTGTGTACCATCAAATCGGATCTGACTGGTACAGGAGGAGATTGTCCCTCCTTCCCCGGCAGAGCATCTGGTGGATTTGAACCGTGCGCCTCTGGGATTGCAGTGCAGCTTCTTGCCACTAGGCTACCAGAGCTCCCCTGACCATGTAATTTTAACGTACTGAAAAATCACATGGCAAAAGGCATAGGTTGTTGTTGCTATGTTCTGCCAAATCGTCTGTGACTCATAGGGACCCCATGCACTTTTGAACCCTGCCCTATCCTGACCCAGTCTCACTGTCTCTGACACATTTTACCCCCATTATGTCAGTTACTATGTCAATCCATCTCAGCTGGGGTCTTTCTTGTGCTGTCCCTCCACTCTGCAAAGTGTGATGGGCTTCTCCAATGACTGTCTTCTCCTGACAGCATGCCCAAAGTATATGAGACGAAGTCTCCAAATCTTTGCCTCCAAGGAGCAGCTTGGCTTCACCCTCTCCAAGACAGACCTGTTTGTTCTTTTGGCAGTTCATGGTGTATTTGGTACTCCAGCACCACAACTCAAAGGCATCAATTCTTCTCCTATCCTCCTTGTACGTTGTCCAGCTTTCTGATGCATAGCAAGTAATTGCAAAAGCCGTGGCCTGGGTCAGGCATACCTTAGTCTCTAGATTGACATCATTGCTCCTTAGCACAAGGAGAGTTCCTTGACAGCATATTTTCCTAATGCTATTCATCTTTTGATTTCCTGACTGCTAGTGCCAAGTGTATTGATTGTGGAACAGAGTAAGCTGAAGTTGTTAACCACCTCAAATCTCTTCTCCATCTGTCATGTTCCTGCCTATTGGCCCAGTGGTGAGAATCTTTCTAATACAAGAAAGGTGTGGAGAAATGAGGCAAGAATTCAATCTCTCAAATACTTATACTTGAAAAACTGAAACACAGTTTATTGGTCTTTTAGAACCAAATTAAGTCAATTCCCCCAATGGCACAAATTATATCGTCGTTCTGTCAGAGCGCTGATTGTGAAAGATGCACGCAATGTTGGCATCACCTCTCTCTCTTTAGAGCCCAGAATCTTGTATAGAGCCCAGATTTAATACATTAATAAACCAAGTGGAACCCACATAAAATATATATAATATTGTTGTTGTTGTTGTTGTGCCGCTAAGCAGCTGGCCCTCCAGCAGGTTTTCTTTCTTTTTTTTTTTAATGGCGAAAAAGAAAACCAGTTTACTCCGTAAGCTTTCACTCAAATCACAATAAAGAGTAAAAATAATAGATTTTTATTCCAAGAATAAAATCTTAGGACTAGTCTGGCCTCATTTCTGTAGCTGAAAAGCTAGCTATTACTCATCAGTTGCTAAATAGTTCCTTTTTCAGAGACATTGAAACCATCCAAAAGTTTTCGGATATCCTTGTTTTTAACTGTCGTAGCTTGCTGAATCAAAGCAGCTGAATTTGATACAAGCTTAGTGTCATTTCCTTCAAGAATTAACTCTCTTTCTGGGCTTGAGATACTGAACAAGCAACACGTGGTCTCATTTGAACCCTCCGAACATATTTTTCACCTAAGAAGTTTCAAATTTCTACCAGAAATTTACTCTTGAATCACAACATTAATGGAGAACTGAGCATACACAGACCTCATCTTGTAACAAAAGCCCAGTGTAACACCCTTGATCGTTCTGTATGTGGCTACAGATGGTGTGAACTGTAGCCAGTTCCTTCCTGTTCCCCCACCATTTATTTGTCAATGTGAATCCTCTTCTTTTTCTTCCCAAGGAGACTGTCTACACTGATGTGATTGAAGGTCCTCTGCAAGGTCCCTTGCGGGCCTTTCATGATAACTGTGACCCTTCAGAGTAATATCGACATTCTCTGAAATGTTGGCAGTCTGGTTGCTGAGAATGGTCTTCATTCTCACAGTAAAATGTGGTAAAATCCAGCAGGTTTTCTAAGACAGTGAATCTCACAGGAGGAGATTGTCAATCTTTCTCCTGTGGTGCAACTGGTGGATTCAAACCGCACATCTTCGAGATTGCAGCACAGCTCCTTACCACTAGACCACCAGAGCTCCCTATCTTATTAGTATATATAGTCAAAGTCATTGCTACTGAGTTGGAATCAACTCATAACTGGCCCTCCTATGGGTTTTCCAAGGCTGTAATTCACACAAGAGGAGAGTGCCCATCTTTCTTCCTCAGAGCCACTGGTGGATTTGAACCACCAAAGAGGAGCCACCTTTGGGTTAGCAGTGCAGCTCCCTATGGACTATGCCACTGGAGCTCGCCAATATATATAATAACGTATATATAATATGTCTTATTTCCTGTTGTTGTTGTTGTTGTTGTTGTTGTTGTTGTTGTTAGGTGCATTTGAGTTGAGTACAACTCATAGCAACCCTAGGAACAAAAGATCTGAACCCTCTTCCGTCCTGTGCCATCCTCACACTCCATGACACTCAAAAGCCCATTGCAATAGTCACCATGTCAGTCCACCTGGTTGAGGATTTTCCTCTCCTACACTAACCCTCCACCCTTCCCAGCATCAAGTCCTTCTCAAAGGAATAGCCTTCCTAGCAACATGCCCAAAGTATGTAAAGTGAAACCTCATCATCCTTGCTTCCTAAGAGCACTCTGGCTGCACCGTCTCTAAGACATACCTGTTTTTTCTCTTGGCTGTCCATGGGATGTTCAGTACTCTTCTCAAACACCACAGCTCAAAGGCATCGATTCTTTTTCTGTCATCCTTATTCATTGTCCAGTGCTCAGATGCATAGCTAGTAATCGGAAAGAGTATGGCCTGAATACGACACACTTTAGTCTTCAAATTGACATCACTAGTCCTCAGTAATTTGGAGAGGTCCCTAACTGCAGATTTTCCCAGTGCAGTGCATCTCCTTATTTCCTGACTGCTCATACCAAGCATGTTAATTGTGGGTCCAAGCAAGATGAAGCTGTTGACAGCTTCAATTTCCTCTCCATCCATTATGACACTGCCTCTTGGTCCACTAGAAAGAATCTTTCTTTTCCTGACATTGAGATGCAATCCCTACTGAAGGCTGCATTCTTTGATCTTCTGCAACAAGTGTTTCAAGTCCTCTTCACTTTCAGCAAGCAATGTTGTGTCATATGCATAATACAAGTTATTGAGGAGTCTCTCTCCAATCCTGATGCCACACTTCTCCTCATAGAGTCTAGCTTCTCAAATAATTTGCTCAGCATACAGATTGAACAGGTATGGAGAGAGAATACAACCCTGGTGCCCTCCCTTCCCAGTTCTGAACCATGCAGTGCTCCCCTGCTCTGTTCGGATAACAGCCTCCTGGTCCAGATATAGTTCGGCATGAACATAATCAAGTACCCTGGGATTCCCATTCTTCTCAATGCCAGCCACAATTTGTCATGATCCACATAGTCAACATAATCAGTAAAGCACAAATTGACATTCTTCTGGTATTCCTTACTTTCAGCCAGGATCCATCTGATATCAGCAATGATATCCCTCCCTGGTGGCCACAGCTTCTTCCAAATCCTGCTTGAAATTCTGCCAGTTCCTTATCTATGTACTATTCCAACTGGTTTTTTAATGATCTTCAGTGGGATTTCCTTTTAGAAATGTATTATGTTATTGTATGAACAATAACACATGAACAAATTTTGTACATAGAATTATTTATTGTAGTAGAAAATCTGGAAAATACCAAAAATTATGCAAAGAAATGTCAAGATTTTTGCCTCTTGAGTTGCAGTACATAAAAGCTGCTGCATGCATAAGTATTACAGACTGAATTATGTTCCCTCTCTCAAAAGAGGTATGTGTGGGATCTTAGCTTCAGTTGCTAATGGAGAGGTCAGTGATCGACCCCCCCAGGCACTCTCTGGACCTATGTGGGAATTTACTTCTATAAAGATTCACTGCCTTGGCAACCGTCTAGAGTAGGTTTACTCTGTTCTCTTATGAATGAATGAATTATAGACAAAGGGTATGGGCATAAGCTACAACAGAAAGTAAGAACACTAACAGGACACATTCCTTTTGCCTGAAACATGACTGGCTGTGGTGAAGCCTGCTCTGACTCATGGGGACCCTGTGGATATCAAAGGGGAACTCCGCTTCTGGGGGCTTTCAAGCAGGTAACTCTGTGGGAGTAGATTGCCAGACCTTCCTCCCGAGAAGCCTTTGAATGGATTTGAACTTCTAGCCTTTCAGTTAGCAGTCAAGCGTACTCAATATGTGTACCACCCAGGGATTGCTGGAGCATCGACCTTGTCTGAGCGAGTAGAGGAAGAGTGTGCATTGAAGATGATGCCATAAACATTGTAAAACCAGAAACAGATTCTGGTGCATGTCCTCGAGAGTCCCTAATGCAGTACTTTCCCTGTTGCTGGCACTTAGTATATTTGTGATCAAAATATTAGTGTCTAGTAGATTATGGGAGTTACAGGATAATATCCTCATACTAGAACAGTTATTCCATACAAAAGTTTGATTTTTTTTTTCTTTCTTTTTGAACAAAATTCCTTTAATGGGTTCTGGATCAATCCAAAGCTGCTTCTGTCAACCTTTTTCAGTTTTGCTTTTATTGCCAGGCATTTTGGCCTCTTATAGACCAAGTCTTTCAGGTTTATGTGGACCTGGGTGCTGGCTGGGTTTGACCCATAGAGGTCTTTGGTGTGATGAATTGTTTTTGTGCTGCTAAGCCGAAGACTGGGCCCCTCTGACAGTTTGAGGACTCGCAGTTTCATGGATGAAAGATGGGAAATCGTCCATGCAGTTTACAGCCTTGGAAACCCCCCAGGGGGTCGGTCAGCTATGAATTGGCTCTGACTAAATGACAATGAGTTGCACTGAATTGTGTTTATAGACATTATAACTTGACTGTCAACATAAGGACAACAGGATTGGGTTTTGATGTTGTTAGCCATGGTCTTGTAATACTCACCAAATGATGGAGTGGGGCTATGGAAATAAGGTGCATGCACTACCGTAGGGGTGGGATAATGCAAACTTAGGCATCAAGGGTATTGGCTAATTAGTAAGTCCATCTAGACAGGCTTTAAATGAGCCACTCCAGCAGCAGAAAGCAGATACCAGAGAAAGAGAACTAGGAATAGAAAGTGCCCTTTAGACCTGGGGTCCCTGTGCTGAGAACTTGCTAGACTAAGAAGACAGAGTACTGCAGCACTGGAGATGATAAGAGATGGCAAGAGGTAGTAGCCAAGAAATAAGTTATTTAAATAAAGAAATTTCAAAACCACGTTGGGATTTTAAAGAGATATATTTGGTGGTTGTTTATTGTTTTGTGTACTGTCAAGCTCGGAACTGACCCATAGCTGACCCTCTGGCAAGTTTTCCAGGGCAGTTAATCACACGGGAGGAGATTGTCCATCCTTCTGTGGAACAGCTTGAACTGTGTACCTTTGGGATTGCAGCACAGTTTCTTACCACTAGGCCACCAGAGGGTTATTTATTAAGACCTAAAAATAAAACTCCAAAATAAACCTTAAAGCTATTTGTTTAGTAATTAGATAACAGATACAGGAAAGTGTGTTAAGGGAAGGGCAATACAAAATAATGTGGTTAGCAAAAAGAAAAGAAAATTACCAATTATATTGAAGAATCTCATCCTATTTAGTATATGTTGAATAATAGTTTTGGGTATTTAACTACCTCTTGTCTGGACTTGTAGTGCAGTATGTTTTGTGCTGCCAACCAAAAGATTGGTGGTTCAAATCCACCAGAAGGGCAGTCTTTTCCTGTAAAGAGTTACAGTTTTAGATAGCCAATGCAGAGTAACCATGACTGGAAATCAACTTGAAAGGAGTGAGCTTGATGTGCATTCAGTGTTTGTCTCGTAGAAATGTTTTAAAAAGTTCTTAAAACATTTTGCCACCAAAAAAAAGGGTTCTTTCTTAACTAACTATACTAATATATTTGTTTGTTTCTTAGGTTCAGTGTACCATTTTGATAAGTCAACTTCATCTTGCATTTCTACCAATGCTCTTCTTCCAGACCCTTATGAATCAGAAAGGTATTTTGTTCTTTTTGGTTTTTACTGCAGTGTTTACTTGAGGTTTAAAAGTCCTGGGGGAGGGAACAATGTCGCCTCTATGTTTCTCGGCTCCAGTCAGCAGCAGGTTCAAATTAAGCTCTTCATGAAAATACTGTTTTTCTTTAAGATACCTCTGCATAATCATTTATACATCCTGAGGAAGGTTTTATTGATGTCCAGAATCTGTCCCTGTGAGAGTTTCTCCACCCAGGGCACTTCACGGCCATGATAGGTCCAGCCCTGACTGGACACCTCTGTGGAAAGAGCAGTTCAGCCAGCTGCGCCTCCTTCAGGGACCTCTTTTGGGACCCCAGTGCTACAGTTTGTGATAAAGCTGCATGCTGCCTGCAGTCCTCCAAGTCCTAGCCTAGGCACAGACCAGAATACATCTTTTTTAAGAAAAAAGGAAAGTCTGGTAAATATACAGGGAATAAAACATCAGCTATCTCTATAATCTTCACATGTATTAAGAAAGTCAACCTTATTACCAAGAATCAGAAGAATTCACTAATAGCCTGCCCTCCAGCAGTTCTCATACCATAAATTGCATAGGAAGAGACTGTCCGTCTTTCTCCCTTAGAGCAGCTGTAGATTCTGATCACTAGAGAAGCACATCCTCTGGGTTAGCAGCATAACTCCTGACAGACCCAGCCATCAGAGCTCCCCGCACATGTCTAGTTGAGTGATACCAAGCATGTGCTTCATTTTGTTTAGTCATCACCACTGATTGTTCTTGGAATTTTCCATCATCCTTAACTGACATTCGATGTCCACTAAGCACCGAACACCTCTTTTAACAGAAGACAATTTCTTGTTTACCTTAGCAAAATATAAGAAACATAACATTCCCGTTTCAGATTCTGTAAACTCACTTCCAGAATGTCAAATCCTGTTCCATTTTTTTCTATAATCTATGAGGATAGCTAAATGCTAGTCCTGGATTTCTGTGGTACCTCACCTGGGATTCTTCCTCCCCAGCAGCTGGCCTATTTATGAGTAAAGGTGTCATCCTGGGTTGGTTTTCTCTTTGAAAGCCTGGCTTCCCTCCCACTCAGTTTCTGTTCCCATCTGAGAAATAAGCTGTGGTGTTTGGCACAATGAAAGGCTTCTTTCTTGACATGAAGCACTGGCCCATTTACAAAAGGGTTTGGTCTCTTGTCCCCAAACACAACAGCACCATAACCATATGAATTGGGCTTTGTGATTTCTGTGTTGCTGCTGCATAATAATATCCTCAAAACTACCAGTGGTTTATAAAAGCAAACATTTCATTTTACACCCATGTTTCTGTCGGTTGGCTGAGGCTCTGCCATTTTGGCTAGGCTCAGCTCAACAAGGCTGGACTCCAGGTTTCAAGTTGGGTTCAGGTCTGTTTCAAATATATTCATTCCAAGACTTGGGCAAAAAGAGCAATAGCTCCCTGAGGCATATTCTTCTGAAAATGAGTAGAAACTCTAGAGAAGTCTAGCAGGAACTCACAATACTTCTTAATACCTTAGATGCAGCCAGTTCTACACACATTCCATTCTCAAAGCAGATCACAGGGCCGAGCCTTAAGTTCAGCAGAGAAGGGGTGTATCCTCTCCCTGCTTTGAAGGGAGGTACCATGAAGTCACATGGCAAAGTGGAAAACAACTACATATAACTCTAAGTGGGGACTGACTCGGAAATCATAATTCAGTGGACTAGTCCTCCAAATATGCTTAAGATTCATGCAACAAAAATTACAGGTGGCTGGCTCAATGTCCAAATAAATGGTAATGAAGTATATGTTGTTGTTATATGCCATCGAGTCACCTGCGACCCTATGTACAACAGCTCTGAAGCCTGGCCTGGCCTGAGCCAGTCTCACTAATTCCAACACACCAACCCCCATCGTCCCGGTTACTGTATCAATCCATCTCATCTGGCATCTTCCTCTGCTGCACTGTCTCTCCACCCTTCCAAGCATGATGTCCTTCTCCAAGGGCCAGTCTCTCCTGGCCACATGCCCAAAGTATGTGAGATGGAGCATCAAAATCCTAGCCTCCAAGGACAGACTGGGTTTCACCCTCTCCAAGACAGACCGATTTGTTTTCTTGGCAGTCAATGATCTAGCTCCATTATCACTAGTGGTGTTTTCTCTTTTTTATAAACCAGTGGTTGGTGGTGCATTTTTTTTTTCTTTAAGGACCAGGGAGTAAATAGTTTAGTCTTTACAAGCCATATGTTCTCTGTTGCAACTCTTCATTGTTATAGTGGAATAATAGTCTTAGACAATATTAAATACAAATCATAGCTGTTCCAATAAAACTTTATTTACAAACATGGTATATTTGGCCCTTGGGCCATAGCTAGCTAGCCTCTCCTATAAACACTTTTCTTGTGAAATACTTATCATTGCATATACTCTACTACCTCTGCTTTATGTTAGTCTTTCACGTAAAGGATTCCTCTTGCGGCTTAACTAAAACACTCTTCCTTTTAGCATTTACAAATATAGTTTGGTTTTAATTACCTTTGCAAAGTATTTTAGTTCTTTGCTGGGGTAAAAATTATCCTTGATTGAAACTATAAAATTCTACTTTTAAAGAAAAAACCTTATAGCACATACTAATCGCTGTGAATATGACAATAATCTTTATATCAGTAACCTTTAAATTCTACTACTAAAAAAGCCATAATTACTCTTTTTTTTTCATTTCCAATGCCAGAATAATTTTATTTGCCAAATATTACCAATGCTTTTCATCCACTTGTCCTTCTTTTCTAAGAAGTGGTATTTTTACTTTAATAACGATAATAATGTTTTGCAAGTAGATTTGGGGAATAATATGTCAAAATAAAAATCACGGTACTCTTTATTTATTTATTTCTATTTAGGGTATATGTTGCTGAATCTCTCATTTCCAGTGCTGGAGAAGGACTGTTTTCAAAGGTAGCTGTGGGGCCTAATACTGTTATGTCTTTCTACAATGGAGTCCGAATTACACACCAAGAGGTGAGTGGGGTGGGAATAAAAAACAGCTTAACTGGTTAAAGGCTTTGTTTCAATCTCTTTTAAATGTTCTCATTAGTCGTCTTCTCTCTAATAGTCACAAGAAATGGAAAGGAAGAACATACTGGCATTTTGTAAAAGTGATAAGCCAAATTCTTTTCCTTCTCTTTATTTTCAACCCCAGCTGGACACTGTCAATAATTAGGGTTTGATTTGAGGCAGAATGCCTTGTGGGAAATCCCCATACTTCCATTTGTTCCAAAATCCTTGCAAGGAACAAGATGGGGAGATCTCCTCTTTGTTGCTAGCTGCGTAGTACAGATCAAAATGAAACCACTTCCCACCTGGACGTGGGTTGGGTCTTCACCTTTTGACAACTGCAGCACCCTTCTCAACTGCATCACCCTTCTTACCAGCCACCCATGTGGTACTCTTTCCCTTTTACCCTCACCACTAGGGCTATGTCAGACTTTGCAAGTTAGAGGGACTTTGCCCTTCTAATTGACTTCCCATGTGGCCTTCCTCTCTCCTCCAGCCACCCACAGCGGGGTCTCCCAAGTTAGAAAGGCTCTGCCATTCCTCTGCCTCTGCTGGCTCATGCCCCTTTGTTGGTGCATTAATTCTCTAGAATGGTTCACAAAACTTATGGAAACTGTTAACCATACTAGGGAGCTCTGGTAGACTAATGGTAAGGAACTGTGCTGCCATCCCAAAGGCACACAGTTCAAATCACCAGCTGCTCCATGGGAGGAAGATAAGCAATCTCCTCCTGTGTGATTTTCTGCCTCTGAAAACCCACTCAAGGGTCAGCTTTGGGTCACTTTCAACTTGACTACACATAACAATAACAACAACAACAACAACAACATGAGCTCTGGTAGCACAGTCGCTAAGGAGTTGTGCTATTAACCCAAAAGTAGGGCCTCTGGCAGTGTGAATTCTCCTTGGAAGAAAGATGGGTAATCTCCTCCTTTCAATTTAGCACTTCAGAAACCTACTGGAATCGATTTGGACTCAACAGCAATGGGATTTTTTTTTAAGTAAATGATCATAGTAACTTCCACTCATCTAGCATAACCAGAAAGGATATAAATTAATCCATCAGGCACAGTTTAATCTGGGTCCAGCGTGAAGTCTCGAGGGATGCACCCCCTCTCTTGTATCCCTCCTGTTGGAGGGGCAAGCCTCTCCGGCTTCCTTGTGCAGAGCCTTTATTTAATGAGTGTACATAACTAGATTATATCCCTCAGCCTTCCTGAGGTTAGTTAACGGTGGAGCCCCACCCATTCACAGACATTTTTAGGTGCTATTCAAAGTTACTGACATAAAATCACCACAATTGCTAGGGCGTTCTGAGGGCTATCTTTCCAGAAACCCAAGACCATGGCCCAGTCAAGTTCTTTGTGTCACAGTCACACAATAGCTGACCTCTTGTCAGAAGGCTCCATTTCCTTGGTCTTTAAGGTTAATCTTTGATATATTGCCAAAATTTTATGCAGGGTTTTGTTTTCTGTCCCAGGGGAAATTAACATCTCAGAATGTGGGTGAGTTGAGTATAGAGACTCTTTGATTAAGGCATAAATAGGAGAGGAAGACAAGCCTTTCTGGAACCCATGAACAACAGCACTATGGGAGTTCCACAGAGTCAGAGGCACTGCTTTCGTTTATAGGAATCTAAGCACTCATGTAGGTGGACAAGACCATGGCTAGGATATTTACATATTTCTAATTCAAAGCTTTACAGAGTTGACTCCGGGGTTCCTGCCACTGACACCTGTCTCTGTGTGGTTAGAGCTATCCAGGAAAGATCAGCCTAGGAAAGTTACTGCTCTCTCTCAGGCTGATCTGATGGCCGTGATTACAGCTGCAAAGCTATGTGGCAGGCGCAGGCCAGAAAGAAAGTCAAATGGCACCTGAGCCTATATGATGAATCACTGCTGATTGAAAGCTCTTCTCCAGACCTCAGCCTCCCACAAGCCAAGCGCTTTGGATTTTAAGCTCTAATTCAGTTCCTTCATTTCACAATTGATTTCTCTAAGTGTCTTCTTAAAGGCAAAGGCTTGATACTTTTAGCACACTGAGTGATTTTCATCTTTGTCTCACTTATATTAAATATTTAGAACTTAAATTTATTGCTAACATCTCACATTCACATGAAAACCCAAGAAATTCAGCATATGAAAAATACATTCAGGGTTGATTAGACATTGTTATAAACTATAATAATCAGCACTAATTAATATTAATAAAACAAAAAGCCTATGAATGACTATGAAAAAAAGGTATGATTTATAAATTTTCATGCAAATAAAATAATAAACAACTAAAGGTACCTTCAGGATATTTATATATAATATATTCATCCAATATACATTTTACAGATAAGGAAATGGAATCCCAGAGAGGTTGACCAATATGGCCAAGGTTGCAAAGGTAGTGTGTAGTTTAAGTAGGATTTCAGGGAGCAGACTCTGGCTCTGTGCTGAAACCACCTTGCCATGTTATAATAATTAATGAGACACTGTCCTTGCCCTCATGAAGTTTAGAGGCTGTTGGAAAACTAAAAACAAGAAGAAAAAGCACAGTGTAGGATATCGCTCTCTTACTCATTGCCCTCGAGTTCATAACTGGTCCTCTAGCGGGTTTCCAAGGCTGCAAACTGCACAGGAGGAGATTGCCCATCTCTCTCCTGCAGAGCTTCTGGTAGACTGGAACCACCAGAGAGGTGCCACGTTTGGGTTAGCAGTGTAATGAATGCCGAATGGACTGTGCCACCAAGCTCCCTAATGGTAACAGAGGCAGGTGATCATTACTGCCGTGCATCAGTATCATGTTGGAATATCCAGATCTGTTTGGTTTTGTTTTTTTAATTTGGCTACTTCTGTGCCTTCTGTATCTAGATCAATGCCTGCAACAGTCAGCACTGAGGAAATAACTCTCACAAATAAAAGCACAATTTAGAAATGGGAAAGATAGTATATTAATGAGAGTCAATAATTTTGAATGAAAATGTGATTCTGTTTGCTCTGAAAGACTGGCATTAACCATTTCTGGGGTGTTTTGGTCAAGAGTAGTTTAGAGGGGGAAGGCTAATATTTACACTATAAACAGTGCATGCTGTTATAGGTGAGAAAGTCAATCAGGAATTGTCAACTGGAATCTCTAAATAGTACAAATATTTAATATGCTTGGCTGCTAAGTGCCAAATTTTAAATGCTAAAAATTGTATGTTCAAATCTATGCATGGGTGCCTCAGAAGAAAAGTCTGGCGATTTGAATCATGGAGTGGTACAATTGGCTGGGGGGGGGGGGGGGTGGATGAGAGAAATTGGAAGAATCTGTTCTCAAAAACAATGTATTCTAATTGTGTAAAGAAACTAGTATAAATTTTTTTGCCAAAGGGGCCCTTTAGAGTAGTGAGAGAAGATCTTCACCCTGAAACCCACAGTGTCCCTTTTCAGCAGGAAGTAG